CCACTCCTTTTTCGCTGAGGTTGGTCAGGGTTGGGTGTCTGGGAAGAGTAAGAAAAAAATCACAGGGTTGGTGTGGGGTGGAGAGCAGACGAAGCACGGGAGACTGTCCAGGACTGGTCCATGGAGCTGGTAACAGTTCTTTGGTTTCCCTTGCAGGTAACTCTAGTATGTCGCAGAGTGGGTTCTTTGAGGATGCAGGTGAGTACCTTTCAGGTTTGGGTGTGTATACAGAGCCAGCTCCTTGATCAAAAGCCTCTTGGGGACCTAATCCATCTACCTGGGTGCACATGGCATTGACCACTTGTCTCTGGACCTTTGCTGGTTCTGGGATGCCTTTGGATCCTACCCTCCAGGTTGTGGTGTGGTCAGAGAGACAGCTGACACTGCCCTGGACACTGGCAGGTCTCTGGTGGTCCAGTGGCCCTGCCTGGGAGGGCAGGCTGCCCCCTCTCCTGGGCTATATATGGACCATCTGGTGATTTCCCATGGTTCATTTTACAATGCCCTGGTTATCTGACCAGGCTTAGGCCAAGTGTTATGGATGCCCACATCCCTCAGTCCCCGCCCAGCCCTGTGAGGGTGGGGCTGCCATTGTCCCTCTAAAGAAACATAGCTCTGCTTCTGCATTCCCTGTTTGTTCCAGTCTAACTCTCCCTTCCTCCTGTCTGTGGGCTGGCTTTGTGCTGCCTCTCCTGTGCCGGAGCTGGCCTGACCATGAGAGGGGTATTTAGTGGAACAGTGGAGAGAGTGGGGGTGTGCTCTTATCCAGGGTCTCCAGGGCATGATGGCTGCATGTGCCAGGCTGCTGGTAGGTTAGGTATGTGTCTGGGTTATAAGATGGAAGAGGGGACATGGCATCCCAGGAGCCTTGCAGGGACCTGATAGTGTCGACATAGGGAGAGCCCAGGATAGGGGAGAAGGGGGAAGTGTGAGGGGCAGTGTGGGGAAATAGTGGGTGTTAGTGGGGTAACAGGGGGGCTGGGACAGTTCGGGGCTGGAGAACCAGGATGTCTAAGCAAAGCAGGCCTGGAATTGGGAAGGAAGGAGTTTTTTGTGGATATGAGCTCCATGACATATGTGGGAAGGACATCTTTTGACCTAATAGCTCTGCTCTGGGCTCTGAGTGCAGTGCAGACCTGGGGATAGTGGAAGCCTAGCAACGCCTGCCCAGAAAGGACTCAGGCTGAGCACAGGAGGACATGGTGGGAACAGGGCCTAGGATGTGCAGAGGAAACTGGCAGGCAGGAATGGAAGTGAGTCAGGGTGAGTCATTGCCTGGCAGGTGTAGGCGTGCTGCTGACCTGTCCCTGTCCCTGCACAGGTGTTAGGCATTAATGGGGTCCGGGGTACAAAGTCCCCTTTCCCGGGATCACTCACAAGTGGTGAACCATAGGGGACCCACAGGAAGAGGTGCCAACTGGGCCAAGAGTGAGGCAGGGCCCTAGGAAGACTTGCCAGAAGAGGGAGGGTTCTGTGAGCCTTGAAGAAGGCTCTCTGGGCCCTCCACGAAGAGGACAGGAACTGGCATGTTAGGGGTGCTGGCTGACTAGCCTAAGGAAAAGAAGATCAAGGAGGGGAGTGGAACTGGGTCTGAGGGGCCAGGAGTCAGGACAGAGGTAGAAGGGCTGGCTCAGACTGTGATCCCAGAGGATCACAGGGGAGCCTCAGCAGGGCTTGGGGAGGACTGGAACATTTGCATCTCACAAGGAAGCCTTCCTACAGGAGGGAGCCTGTGCTGTGGGGCAGTTGTAGGAACCGAGAGGAAGACCAAGGGCAGCAGACCCTGGATCCTGGGAATCTCAAAGTGCTATGACATGCCCCTTTCCCAACATGGGGGGCGGGCGTAATGGGGAATGGGCTAAGATGTAGCCTCCTGCCTGTCCCACAGCCTGTCAGTCCTGGCTCTATTTTGCTCTCCTGCTTCCTGGGCCTTGTTCGATGTCTGGATCAGGTCTCTCAGCCTTGATGCTTTGCCCACAGGCCCTCCTCAGGGGGAGGTGCTCTAAGACCCTGTGCCAACGAGGTGGGGGAGGGAGTGGTTCTAGATACTGCAGTGCCTCTGGCTTCCCTCGGATCCCATCTGGGTAGCCAGGCAGGTCTGGGTCCTGTAATCTGGAGGTTCTGGGAAGGCAGGGGTCAGGCAGGCCTAACCACATCATTGTACCACGTTCCTGGCCTAAAGTTGGTGGAATGAACAAATTTTTCTCTAGCCAAAGGATATGCGTAGGTCACAACAGTGCAAGGCCCTGGTTCCTGCAGCTGAAGAATGTTGGAGAAAGTTGTTGGGTGGGGGCAACTGGCCAGATGCCATACTCTGAGGGGGGCGGGGCCAGGACTATTTACTCCACCTACCTGGGCCTGAGGCTGCTTTCCTGGCCTACTTGAACCCTCCCTGACCACTCACTGAGTGCACCAAGTGGGACAGCACAGGATCCCTGCTCCTTGGGCTTGAAATCCCTCCTGGGCTGTAGTGCTGATGGCCAGGCCCTCTTGGGGGGTTCTCTCTTGGTGGTGGTTGGGTCTCCAGGCTATTTCAAGTGTGACATGGATGATGCCTCTGAAACCCATGATGAGAGCCTGGGGGAAGAGGCCTTCGACACGGTCAACTCCTCCATTGTGTCTGGCGAGAGCATCCGTTTTTTTGTCAACGTCAACCTCAAGGTGCAGCCCACCCAGGCTGGTATGGGGGTTGTAGCAGGGATAGGCTAGGGGGAGGGCAGGGGACTGGGCACTGGGCAGGTGTGGCCCCACTCCACCAAGAGAGACCTGAAGAGGCAGGCTGGCACCCTGAGCCCTCTCCCTTTTCTCTAGCTGAGAGTGAATTGCCTGATGGCTGCGGGCTCCTCCACACCTCCCGAAAGGTGAGTAGCCCATCAGCAGGATGGGAGACATTCGGTCCTGGGCCACTAGTTGGGGGTAGAGGTGGCTGCTCTCCTGAGATAGCTCTCACTGCTCCCCTCTTGAACTACACAGGGATCTCACACCAGCCCAAGGCTAATCTTCTGGGGCTATGCCTCCTGGAAGGGGATGTGGTCCTGTTAGGCAGGGGCAACCAGGGCCACCACAGAGGAGACGCCCAGGCAGTGACAGCAGGTCTCACTCATGGGTTTTTGTGGGGTCCCCTCAGTACCTGAAGATAAAGGACTTCAGGGAAGAGATCCGAGCGCACCGAGACCTAGATGGCTTCCTGGCACGGGCCAGCATCATTCTGAATGAGACAGCCACCTCGCTGGATGATGTGCTGCGGGCCATGATACTCCGCTTAATCCATGACCCTGACAACACTGAGCCTGACTGCAACGTGGACTCGCTCATGGCCATGCTCTTCACTGATGCCGGTACCCCCATGGAGGGTAAAGGTAAGGCAGACCTCCTCTCCTGGGTAGGGAGGTCAGGGAGGGGGCCTGGCTAACAGCTTCCACCCTGTCCTTAGCCCACCTGCTGTCGGATACCATCCAAGGAATTACTGCCACCATCACAGGGGTGCAGTACCAGCAATCATGGCTCTGCATCACGTGAGTTGCCAGGCCACCACATTTGGACTGCCTATATGTCCCCTTGAAGCTAGGTATCCCATGTCCCTGCAGAGGCCGACCCACCCAGTTTGGAGGGAGACGGTGTGAGCACTCCATCCCATTTGGTCTTTTTTTCTCCCTAAGTCACTGGGAGTCGAAGTTGGGTACTCTAGGTGGGCTCCCCCCACCAAGGGTGGCAACTTTGTGCCCTCCCCTATCCCTGTCAGCTGTACCTCCAAGTCCTTACTGAAGCGGCACGTGTGCATCAGCCGCCTGGATCGCCCGCAGAACTGGGGGGAGAATTCCTGTGAGGTGCGATTTGTCATCCTGGTGCTGGCCCCACCCAAGATGGTGAGGAGGGGTCTTGGTGGCTCCGTTTCCAGGTCGGGGGGGTTCCAGGTTATCTTGCTATCTTCTTGGGGTCATCTCTTCCATGTGTTGGAAGACCCCACAGTCCTGGCCTCTGAAGGTCTCATTCTCACCCTGTCCCTTCATCTCTGCCTTCCTCGGTGTCTCTGAAGCATCCTTGCCAGGTCCTCATCAAGCCCTAATTTCCCCAGAGGTTGTCCAAAAGATTATTATTTCCTTCCTGACTGAAAAGAGATATTTTTTAAAATTATTATTCAAATATTTGGCCTGCCCCGACCTAATCCTTCTTCTAGTTGGCTGACTATAATTTGCTGGCCAAGGATTCCCTATTCCTTCCTGGGCTATTCATCCTCTGGTCAGGGACATCTCGCTTTCGTAGGGGCTTAAGCTGATACAATTTAGGGACTCTTAAGGAAAAGGATTTAAAAATCATGAATAAAAAATGGGTAGGGCACCCAAGAGTGTTTAAGCTTCCAGTAGCTTCTTGCTGATTCTGCCCCTGCTTCTGGTGCAGAGCTTGGCATAGCCCCCTTACCCAGGCTTTCTCTATGCAAAAGGGGTACTGAAGGGAATGTATCTCACTGGGATGTCATAAACATGGTGAGCCTCCTCAAATGTTAGTGTGCTGGCGAGAGAGGAAGGGCATTTAGGGCAGTGGGCAACTCCTGGATCAGAGGGAGTGACAGCAGGCAAAGTGGCCATAACAGTGAAAGAAGCAGTACCCTGAGGGTGGAGTAGCTTAGACTGGTGCCTTGAGACAGCTCAACCAGCCTACACCTGGCTTGTTGAGAGAACAAGCCCGTTCTAAAGATAACAGAAAAGCATAGTGTGAAGTGTAGTGCTATCGCTTTGAGCAGCATGAAGGGGTGGACACTGCCCCCAGTGGACCTAATTTAGGGAGGTGAGAGGTTGCTGTGGTGGAGGCTGGACACTGAGTTCATGGACAGGGTTGACCTTGGCCAGACAGGAGTAAGAAGGCTCAATGGGCCTGGAACCCCTCTGAAAATCAGATAAACCAGCAGACAGTGAAAATGCCACTGGTGAAATGTAGCTGGGTGAACATTTTTCTCTGTCACTGTGATTTCATTTCATTATCTACGATTTGTAGATAATGTCACTTAGGACAAGGCTAATACCTGAGTTTATAAGAACTCATGAGTTTATAAGAAAAATACTAGATTGATGGTAGTTCTAGTGATCTGCCAACTTGGTGGAAATTGTGGCAGGGTCCACTTATGCTTGAATTTTGGGGTACAAAACTTGCTGTCAGTTCAGAGAGAGAGAGTGCCTACCACGTGCTTGAGAACATCCATGCACGCCAAGGGCAGGGCAGGGTGCCCTCTGCTCTGCAGGAGCTGCAGATGTGATTCCCCCACCTCCCACCCCTAGAAAAGTACCAAGACTGCAACGGAGGTGGGGCGCACATTTGCCACCATGTTCTTGGACATCACATTCCGCCAGAAGCTCCTAAAGACCCGCACAGTGGAAGAATTTAAAGAGGCCCTGGTACATCAGAGACAACTGCTCACTATGGTGAACCACGGTCCAACCTCCAACAGAAAGAGCTCCGTCAGCATCCAAAGACATCACCAGGTATGGGGTCAAGGTGGGCCTGGGAGATCAGTACTGGGCATGGGTTGCAGAGCTAACAGGCACCCCTGTCTCAGCCCCTGCAGCTCAAGGACTTTCTCCCTGTGGGGAAGGGCATCTGGGAGGACATTGCTCGCAGGTTCCCTGTATACCCACTGGACTTTACCGATGGTACGTGGCCCCCCAGTCCTTCTGGAGATCTGCCTGTGGCTCAGCCCAGGATAACACATGTGCCTGTCCAGCAGCCCCAAGACACTCTCCATCCTGTCTCCCATTCCTAGGCATTATTGGGAAAAACAAGGCTGTGGGCAAGTACATCACCACCACCCTGTTCCTCTACTTTGCCTGCCTCCTGCCCACAATTGCTTTTGGGTCCCTCAACGATGAGAACACGGATGGGGCCATTGGTGAGGGGCTGGGAGCTGGAGGTCAGGAGGGTGTGCTGGTTGGGGCCTAGGGCTGTGGTGCCTGCCTGGCTGACCACCCTACTTCCTCAGATGTGCAGAAGACCATGGCTGGGCAGAGCATCGGAGGCCTCTTATATGCGCTGTTCTCCGGGCAGCCGCTGGTGGTGCTGCTGACAACTGCACCCCTGGCTCTCTATACCCATGGTACAGTGGGGGTTATGGTGGGGAGATGGTGCCTAAAGTCTCTGGGCCCAGCCTGGCCCTGACCGTCTACTTGTCCCGCTTCCTGCAGTGATCCGTGGCATCTGTGATGACTATGATCTGGACTTCAGCACCTTCTATGCATGGACAGGCCTGTGGAACAGTTTCTTCCTTGCACTTTATGCCTTCTTCAACCTCAGCCTGATCATGAGTCTCTTCAAGAGGTGACAGGGCTTTCCCTGAACTGCTGGGACCCTCGAGCAGGAGGGACACCAAAGCTGGGGATTTGGGTCAGCCTGTATGCTAGCCTCTCAGGCCCTGTAACCCTAGAGGGATTGGGTGCCCCCAGGGAAAAGCCTGGGACTGGTCCTTTTCATGGCAGGAACAGCAGGGCCATGCCAAGGCTCAGGGAAGCCTCCCCTCTTCAACAGCTCACCCTTATCTTACAAGGTATATTATCTCCTGACAGGTCAACGGAAGAGATCATCGCCTTGTTCATTTCCATCACATTCGTGCTTGATGCTGTTAAGGGCATGGTCAAAAGTGAGTGTCTAGCCAGTGGCCACTTGCTGCAGATGGAACTGAGTTAAGGTGGAGGACTGTAGGCTGTGGTGGGGACAGCCAAGAAGCATGCAAGCTAGTTGCTCCCATGGTCCAAGGTGCTCTAGGGAGCTCTGACTGGCAGAGAGCAGTAGCCCCATATGCTAGAGTGACATAGCTGCCCCAGGCAGGATCAGAGGCACTGGACCAGAGGGTGATACGCTGTCAGAGACCAGAGGGACAACAGCAGGGGGTGATGGTGGGTGGATAAACAGGTCAGTAGGGTCCTGGCTAATAGTATAGTCCTCCCTCAGTGGGGGAAGGTCAGCCCCCTCCCACTTCTCCTCCCAGATGCCTTCTCCCCTCAAGGCCCCTCCGCCCCACATCCAGGAGTAAGCTGGGCCTCAGTCTCCCAGAACCCAGATGGCTGAGGCCTGTTGGCTTGTATCCAGTCTTCCAGAAGTACTACTATGGTAACAGCCTTTGGAGCTACAGCGCAGATCACACTTCCCTGAAGAGCCTGCTGGGCCTTGGTGCCAGCCTCAACACCAGCTTCCACAGTGCCCTCAATGCCAGCCTCTTGGCTAGCCCGCAGGGGCTGGCCTCAGTGAGCGGCCATCCCAGTGTTCACACAAGCCGGGAAACGGCTGTGCTCAGCCTCCTTATTATGCTGGGTACACTGTGGTTGAGCTATACCCTCTACCAGTTCAAGAAGAGGTAAGGGGGTAGCTAGGGGTGAGAGGAAGAGGGTATAAGCTCCCAGGCCACACTGATCATCCCCCCTGCATCCCTAGCCCCTACCTGCACCCTTACATGCGGGAGATCCTGTCAGATTGTGCCCTCCCCATCTCCGTGCTCACCTTCTCCCTCATCTGCTCCTATGGATTCCGGGAAATTAAGAGTGAGTTGGGAATGGACCGGGCTGAGGTTGGAGTGGGGTATTCTCATGGGGCTGCAGGCTAGAGCAGGGGTCTGTACCCTGCTGCAGTGAGCAAGTTCCGCTACAACCCCAGGGATAGCCTGTTTAAGATAGCTGAGATGCACTCGCTGTCCCTGAACGCCATCAGCAGTGCCATGGGCTTGGGCTTCCTGCTCTCCATGCTCTTCTTCATTGAGCAGAACCTGGTGGCTGCCTTGGCTAATTCACCAGAGAACAGGTTCGTAGGTCTGGGAAGGGAGGGCTGAGCAGGGTACCCAACCCTCCAAGGGACCAGTGGGTTTCTACATGTGCCCCTGTCTGTCTGCTGCAGACTGGTGAAGGGCACAGCCTACCACTGGGACCTCCTGCTCATTGCCATCATCAACATGGGGCTGTCTCTGTTTGGGATGCCCTGGATCCATGCCGCCTACCCCCACTCCCCACTGCACGTTCGGGCACTGGCTCATGTGGAGGAGCGTGTGGAGAACGGGCACATATATGAGACGTGAGTGTGAGAGCCTGCCTTGAAATCTGAGACGAGTCATGTGGACTCTGAGGTGGGGTAGCCCTGGGCTATATGTGACCTAGGGTGAGATGTGGCCCTGAATGCCCTAGCCTGGGAACAATGCATGACCCGAGGTGGGGGTGGCCCTGTGGACCAGGGCTGGAGGTGATCCTGTGCTCTGGGACCACGCAGGATCGTGAAAGTGAAGGAGACGCGGCTGACCACCCTGGGCGCCAGCATCCTGGTGGGCTTCTCTCTTCTGCTGCTGCCTGTCCCACTGCAGTGGATCCCCAAGCCTGTGCTCTATGGCCTCTTCCTCTACATCGCCCTCACCTCCATTGACGCCAACCAGCTCTTTGAGCGCCTGGCCCTGCTGCTCAAGGACCAGGTGAGGGTCTGGCCCCGAGTGAGGGGTGTGGGTGATAGATATGGCAGCACCAGACCGGCCCATACCTGGTCCCTACTACCCATAGGCCTCGTACCCACCTACTCATTACATCCGGAGAGTACCCCAGAGGAAGATCCACTACTTCACAGGCCTGCAGATACTGCAGCTGCTGCTACTCTGTGCCTTTGGCATGAGCCCCCTGCCCTACATGAAGATGATCTTTCCCCTCATCATGATTGCCATGATCCCCATCCGGTATGAGAGGGTGGACTGCGAGCAAGTGGGGCCAGCTGGGTGGGAGAGTAGAGGGGCTGGGGTGGGTACCTCCTGCCTTCTCCTCCCTGATTAATGCTCATCTTCATCTTCCTGCCTATTTCACCTCTCCTCCAGCTACAAGCTGCTGCCCCGAATCATTGAAGCCAAATACTTGGACGCCATGGATGCTGAGCACTGAGCCTGACTGGCAGGCTCTGGCTACATCACATTCACCTGTCTCCTGGGAGTTCCTAGGCTGGCTCTTTGTGTGGGGAGGTGTGGGTGTCTTTCGGGGTGTTGCTCTATGCTGTGCCCCCTCACAGCTGTCCCAATAAGCCTAGGGCATTTGGGCATTTTGGGGGTTCGGTGGTGTATGCCTACATTTCTCCATTAGCCTTTTGCTTTGGGTCAAGAACACTGCTCAGGGCAGCTTCTACCCAGGGTGAGACTAAGCAGAACGGATTTTCTTTTGATAAAAGAGTCAGTCAGATGCCTGAAAGAAACTATTTCCTTGATTGTGTAAGGAACTTGCTGTGTGCATATTAGAAAATAAAGCTCCTGTTTCTGTGCTTCCATTTGGCCACCTCCATTCCTGTGGCTTTGCCCCATCCCAGCCTCCAAAAGCCACTTCTTAGGGCCCTGGGGAGGGGCAATGAAAGGGACCGATGTTTGTTGAGTACCATCTGAGGGGTGTCACCTCCAAGTCCACACAGTGGGTGTTGGCACAACTGGGAAATGTGGAAGATCCAGGAGGCTGCCAGGAACCTGTAGAGGAAGTGTTCTGAAAATAGCATGTACGAGGGCCCTGAGCAGAGGGCTTGGGTCCAGTGAAGAGTGTGGCTGGTATGGAGAGAGCAGCAGGGCTGACGGCAAAGGGCCGATTCCCAGAGGCAGCTGCAGAGCAGCCTGACTGCAAAACGAAAACAGGTGTGTGGGTCAGAGCGGCAGTTTTGAACTATCCTTCTGTTGGGTGGATTCCAGAATTTATATGTAGGGGGTCTGGAGTGGGGCAAGGGCTGCACCTCGTACCATGGCAGTACTAGTGGGGATGGAGGGAAGTGGAAGAAACCAGATCACAGGATGTGGGGATTGATTTGATGGAGAGGAGACGGTACCATGTTTCTGGCTTGGTCATTTGGTGATTGGCCAGGGTCCATGACAGTTGGCAGCAGGTACTACAGATCTGAGACTCAGGGGAGTGCCCCCTACCCATCCCCCACTCCCATATGTACCTGGGAGCAGCAGCAGTGGTAAGCAGAGCACCTGACTCAGACACCCCATCACATCATCTTATAGGACTTTGTCTTGAAAAAATACACCATAGATCAAAGAAGCAGAAGAGAAGACATCTGCTACATCTGAAACCAAAAAAAGACTAACAGAGATAGAAAGAGATGCTCAAACCCCTCAGTAATCTGAGAAATGCAATCCAACAGTGGAGATGGCACCTTCTTCTTGATAGACTGGCAAAAATCAGAAGGCTGAATGGATGGTAGAGTGGGAGACAGGGGAGCCCTCTTGTCTTCCACTGATAGGGCTCAGAGTGGAGACCGGAGTGCAATCCAGACACCTCACCCTCCAACCTAGCAGTGCTGTTTGTGGGGATGAGTAGCTAAAGTTAAAAAGGGGAACAAAGTGTATTGTGTGTCCAGGACAGAGCCCTGGGGAAGGAGCTGAGTAGCAAACAGAGGGCTGCCCTGCCTCAAACTGCATGTACCTACCCCAACCCACCCATGGGGCATGTAAATCTTCTTTGGGGCCCCCTGCCCAGTAAGTAACCTGGGTATTCCCTGCGGGTGGGGTCATGTCCAGAATCACCAGGAGAGGAGCAGGCAGGCCCCTAGCACTCCGTGTTAGCCCCAGGCTAATATCACCCATCACCAAGGAGACAACTCAGGACAGGCTTGGCTGCCAGTGCTTCCTAGGGAAATAACCCAGCTGGGGAGCCAAGGGATGACGTTCTGTCCTCACCACATGCACTGGCACTGATGCAGTTTAGGGGAGGAAACAAGGGTTAAACCCAAGCCTAGGCCATGCTGCCAGGACTGAGGAAGAGGGCCTAGAGGAGACGTTCTTCTTAGCTACCTATGCATGCAAAACCCTGGGAGTGACCCACCAGCACTGAGGACACCAACCCTTGCTGCACGCAACAAGCTTTCCTGAACATCTTCACGGTTGGTATTTTTTGGTGAGGACACCTCCTCCTCACTGAAGAAACACCTGCAAGAAAAGCAAGGGAGCCCCCCAGGGCAAAATCCCTCGCAGAGAATGGCTTTATCGGGGTGCAGTGAGGGTCTGGGGCAGCTGAGCTGGACCTCCTAAGGGGTTTGGAGGGCCCAGGATGAACACAGCATGTCAACCCAACTGGGATCAAGGACTCCATTCCTGTCCCTGCCATATAAATGAACTTGGCATTATAATCATAAGCCAGTGTTTGAACTGCTCTAATGTATAACTGCACAAGCAGAAGCATGACCCACCCTCAATTCAGGAAACGCCATGGAAACCAGCTGGGCAGTGGCATCACTCACAGGTGGGTAGGCAGCATGGACCTGGCATGGGAAAGGTCAGCCCACAATCTGAGATTTGAATGAAAAGAAAGATGTAACACTCCAGCTAGCAAGAGCATGGGAACACCCTGGACACTGTGCTGCCCCTGTCCCATCACTGCTCTCCCACCCCTCCTCCCCACCTGAGAGGCTCCCTGCTCCTGCCAAAGGAGACTCAGGAGACAGACACCTGCCCAGGGCAGGTTTCAAAGCAAATACATCTAGTTTATTTTGGAGTAGCTTCCAGAATTTTTATTGGCCATATTTTAAAATACTAAGATGGTTTGTGTGGTTCTTTCCCAAATCCTCAGTCCTGCCAAGGCTAGTTTAATACCCAAGGTCCTTTCAAGATCCCAGGCCTGGAGGCTACAGGAGAGACCACGGAATCCGCAAGGGCAAGAGAATGGTGTCCTTTACCCAAAATTTCTCTAAACAGAGCCAGCTGCTCCTCCAAACCTGTGAGGCTCGTCTGGTGAGGCTGTCTTCTCAACTCTCCCAGGAAGTCGTAACCCTGAATTGACATCCTTGGAGGACTGCCTGCCTGAAGGGGGAGGTTTCAGGCTAGCCCTCCCCAGATCCCTGGCCAGCGCACTCATCAGCAGCCCCAGGGGGAGTCAGGCTGCCAAAGAATTCCTGCAGCTCATGCAGGGCCCGGAAGCGATGAGAGATGGCATTCTTCTCAGCTTTGGGCATTTCTGCATACCTAAAAGGCAACAGCAGCTCAAAGAGGGAGCCCAGATCAGGGATGTTGTGCACCCCACTCCATCCCAGAGCCCAAAGCTCAAGAAGTCCCCAGGAAAGGGTAGCAGGGCTACCAGCTCCTGGCAGCCAGAATTAATTTCTTAAAAATCAGATAGTTTTAAATGTCCCTACAGGTAGAAACTCATATTGAAGGATATTAAACTTGCTCCAGTATATCCAAAAGTAACTAAGGGAAGCCAGGAATAGGAGGATAAGCTACGTGTTTGATCAGCTTTGTCATCTGTTGACAGGAAGCAGTAGGGCCTGACAGAGCAAATGCAGCAGACTCCCCTAACACACTGTGAAGAAATGATATGGGACAGACAGTGGCCTGTCTCCCATGCCAGGACTCCAGTGAAGTGAGACTCCTATACCCCAGTGGTGGGCTTCAGATCCAGTATGTGGCCACTAACCACATGTGGCCATTTAAATTTAAATCAATTATAACTTAATAAAAAGTAAGTTCCTCAGTTGCCCTAACCGCATTTTAAATGCTCCATAGCCACATGCAGCTTATTGCTACCAGATTGGGCAGCACGGATGTAGAACATTTCTGTCATCATAGAGCATTCTTGGACAGTGCTCTTTCATGTTGTCCTCAGTTCTGTCTGGCTATTGTGAGGCCTCAGGCCACACCCGCTAAGGGCCTCTCTGGCCTGGAAAACCTGACTCCAGTAATGGTCAACATGTCCTGTGTAAGTAAGTAAGTGTGTGTGTGTGTGTGTGTGTGTGTGTGTGTGTGTGTGTGTGTGTGTGTGGGGGGGAGGGATTAGTGTGAAATACTGAGAACACCTGGCACTGTGGGGGTTTAATGTGGTGCCCACTAAAGGCTACAAAACGTGTTAGCATTTTCCCAAATTAGATGGGGGAGTGGGAAGATCATCCCACAAAACTGTCAGGTATATATACATGACAAGCCAAGGTCAGAGAGGGGAAGCCACTGAAGTCATACAGCTGCTCTGCAGTGAGCTGGAACCCGAGCCCAAGACTCCCAGCTACACCTGGCTGCCTCCCCTACTGTGGACTGAGCCACCAAGATTCCTTGCGTCCACCCCCACAGAGCTGCATCCAGCTGCAACAGCACCCTCAGAGCCTGCCTCCACCCGTATCCGCATGCCTGGACTTGGGCAAGGCGCTGACCCAACGCAGACCACAGCTAGCCCAACCCCACACTCCAGGAAGAAATTGGGCTCCTTACGTCTGCTCATATCCGTCAGGTTGAAAGCAAGGGTCCCAGCCAAAGTCTCGGCAGCCTCGGGGTACCACAATCTGGCCCTGCCAGAAGAAAGGGGAACACGTGTGTCACTTGGCTTGGAATACAGTGGCCAGTTTAAGTTTAGTTTATGAATTTGGTTAAACCCTATTTACTCAAAATATGGTTTCAAGGGGTCCACAGTGCCTGCAAATGTTTGCTAAACACAAATAAAATGCACAGCGGGATGGCTTTCCCCTCACATACGAAGGAACCACGTACTAGATATCCCTGGGGTCACTCTCCATCTCTACAGTTTTGATGAAGTGTGACCTATTGAAGAGAGTCAACTGTGAGAAACTGACAGAAAACATTTTCTCCTAATAGGAAGTTGAGGGCCCTGAACTTTGCAGACAAAGCCATATGTCTGCTACTATTACTGCATTTCTCAAAATGAAAGGGAGATTCTAACAATTACACGAAATACCGTAATATAAATTACTTAGCACAATGTTCAACATACAAACGAGTACAAAAAATACTGGCTGTGACAGGCAAATTCCAATAGGAAAATGTTACAAAGAGAACCAACTGTAGTCCACTGTCATGAAATGCTGTGTTGCCATGAAAGCAAAAAAGTGGGGAAAAAAAAGAGAAGAAAAAGAAAGAAGCTAATTTAAAAAATATAAGAGAGGTAGCAGAGGGTGGGGATTAGCCACACAAATGCCAAGTCATTCAGACCAAAGGCAAATTCTGCTCTGCTAGTGGGGAGCTGTGTGACTGAGACCAGTTACTGAACTACTCTGAGTCACATCCACGTAATACATTTTTTGAACATCCACAGTGAGGCAGGTAGTGTTCTCAGCACTGGGGTCACAGCAGGCCTCACCTTGCCCTCAGAATAAATCTCTTAACCAACACAGGCATCAAACCAGTAAAGAAATTAATGATTACCAAACACAAAGTATCTTAAAAGGAATAAACAGGGGCTGGCCTCAAAAACAGGACAGGATGGGGAGCTCAGAGAAGGCCTCAGGGAGGGGACACTGACTGCAAAAAGGGCTAGGGCGAGAACATTCCAGGTGCAGGACACAGCTGGTGCCAAGGCTCTGAGATGGGGAAGGGCGTGGCATATGTGTTGCTAAAAGAACAATGTGGTTGGGTTCAGAGAGCTCAGGTAAGAACAGAACGTGAAGAAATAGTGCTGCCTTGGGTAAAGTGAGGGCTAGGAAACAACAAAGTGCGTGAAGTGTCTAAAGCTGAGGAGACAATGGGGAAACATGGGGACTGTGGTGACCAGGCCCTATCAATAGGGCCTGTGGTTGTTCAAACTTCCGATTTTTGAGAGAAGATTTCTGTGAAAGTAGCAGACAGCTGCAACTCATTTTAAAAAGTTTAACCCGGTCTACAGCCATGCCACTCCGAACACGCCCGATCCCGTCTGATCGCGGAAGCTAAGCAGGGTCAGGCCTGGTTAGTACTTGGATGGGAGACCACCTAGGAAGACCAGATGCTATAGGCATTAAAAAAAAGAAAAAGTTTAACCAGGCAATTATGAGCCAGCAAATCCACTTCCGGGTATATATCCAAAAGAACTGAAAACAGGATTTCAAGGAAATATTTGTACATCCATGCTCATAGCAGCATTACTTACAAAATGTAGAAGCAATCTAAATGCCTATCAGTGGACATATAGATAATGTAGCACATACATACAATGGAATATTACTCAGCCTTAAAGACTGATGAAATTCTATCATATGCTAAACATGGATGATCCTTGAGGCCATTATAGTAGGTGAAATATATAATGTGTCTAAGTTGTCAAATTCTTAGAAACAGAAAGTAGAATGGTGGTCGCCAGGGGCTGGGAAGAAGGGGGAAGGGGAGTTGTCCTATGGGTATAGTTTCAATTTTGTAAGATGAAAAGTTCTAGAGATCTGTTACACAACAGTGTGTATATAGTTAACACTACTGTGCTGCACACTTAAAAATGACGAAGATGATAATTTTTATGTTGGTTTTTTTTTACCACACACACACAGGAAATCTAACCAGGCAGGGAAACACATCTGTGGTCAACCACTGGTGGAGCCTCTGGGGTGGGGCTTTGTAGGCTACAGTGAACTCTGGATTACATCCTGAGCAAAAAGGGAAAAAGCAGGAGTGAGTGATGTGCCAGAAGGTGTACTCCTGCCACAGGGAGGGAATGGATGGGCTGGGGAAGGAGGGTAGACCAGCCCAGAGGACGGTGTGGACCCTGTGAGAAGCAGCTGAACTTAAGAGAATGAAAGGTAGGCGTGAGGTAATGAAGGGCAGCTGGGGAACAAATGAGCTGGGGGAAGAAGTAACATTCTATGTGAGCACGAAAAGTTGGAAAGACAGTAAGATATTCAAGGGAAGCCATAGCCTTAGCAGTTGGATAAGGAGATTCAATTTTGGAGAAGTCTGGGCTGTAGGTATAGCTTTGGGAGTTGTCCCCTTCAGTTTCTACATCTGCTTCACAAGAGGGTATACTATGCAGAGCTCTGGGTGTCCCAGGCCTCAACAGGTGGGAGGCATTGTGAGTCTCCCTGAAACACCAGCCTCAGGTGTCAAACAGATTTCAGGATTTACAGCACTTCTAGTTGTGCCCAGGGGCAAATGTGGCCAAAGCCCTGGGAACTAACTCTCGCCCTCCCCACTACCTAGATTCTGGGTCACTAGCTCAGGTCGCTGCGCCCTCTGGTGGCAAGCAGGGGAACCAGTGTGGGTACGCACCGAGGTCCGGCCCCTGAACAGGCGCACAGGCTCACTCGCATCTCCACTACTGAGTGCGAATGTGCAGAGCGCATAGGCTGACTTGTCTTCGAACCCTGCCAGGAGCTGATGGAGACCTGTGGGAAGGTGCAGGGAGAACTCAGCACAGTCTGTGCTGGCCAGCCCCCAGCCCTCACTCCCCACTCCAAGGCCCTGGGTTAAAGGGGATGAGTGCCAAATTGGGGGGCTTATACATATTAGTTGATAGGCTTTGTGCTGATAACCCTGGAAGTTGGCTGATGGGGACATGGGGTTCATTATTCTATTGTACTATTGTACGTGTTTGAAATGCTCATTAATATAAAATGTTTTTAAGAACACCTAAAGAGGGAACATTTTGGCCTGTGACTATGGGTGACAAGGTATGCACTCTTGGGGCCCAGGAGGGACAGCCCCCCTTTCAGTCAAAATCAACTACATTTTTCCCACATCTCAGTGCTCCCTGGGGCCAAGTGTGTAGGAAAGTGTAAGCTGCAGGTTATAGATGGGGAAAGTGAGGTGAACAGAAGCTTCATGGTAGGCGTTGGAACCTGAGATTTCTGATTACTAGTTGGGGCCTCTCCCTTAGACAGGGACTCCATGGTGGGGACTGGAACCTGAGGCTTCTGATTACTAGTTAGGGCCTTCTCCTAGACCACCTCCAATTCTCAATTCCCAACAGATCTAAAGGAAGAAATAAAGGGGATAATACCTTCGGGCTTTAACTTCTCCAGAAACCACTTTCTGCAAGGCAAATAAAGACAAGTCAGACAACAGAAGTTATTGGATCTTCTGACCACCTTATTCTTTGGGCTGCATCCCCCAGGGATTAAAGCCCTGGATCAGCCAAAGGGATATGATAAAGAATGTCTCAACTCAAAATGAAGAGAAATCATCCAATAGGAAAAAGGAAATGGAGGCAAACAGGCAATGCACAGAAGAATCAATAATTCAATGAAGGCCTCAACCTAACTGGTAATTAGGGAAATACAAATTAACACTGTATGTGATAACATTTCACACTCTCCAAATTGCAAAATATTAAAAAGTCATAATACTCAGTGCCGGTGAGGATATGGAGCAATGCATACTGAAAGTGTAAGTGTATATGAGTGCTACTGTCTTGGCAAACAAATTGGCAATCCAAAAGTTAAAGATATACATATCTAAGACCCAGCAATTGCACTGCTGTGCATTTGCCCTCCACCCCAGGAAGGGGTATTCAAATTGGGATATTTGTATCCTAGAGATACACAAAGACCTTCTGAGGGAGTCTAGGGCACTAGACAGTTTTAAGGAAATCCATTTTCAGATCTTAATTTCTTTATTTCCTCTTTCCTGAAACTGATCTGCCTATGAATGTACCTCTCCAATGGCTGGGTTCTCCTCGCCCATCTCCACTTACACAATCACATTCTCACACTTTATAAAAGAAAGGCATACCTCTCCCAAATCCCTAATCCTTCCTCAGGAAATCTGAAATATCGGTGTTGATGCCAAGGCAATGAATGACTCTCACTATCACGTAACCAATCATTTCCAAGTTCAAGTGGTTTTGTGGGCAAGGCCCTGCAAGGGGGTGGGGAGCACTCACATGTAGGGGCCAGGGAGGCCCCCGAGGGCATTGAAGCACAGACAGGTGTCCTCCACCAGTACAGGTCCCTGCACCTGAAACATAAGGAAATACAGCCCTGAGACCTGCCACCAACAGGCCCTGCTGCAGCCCTGAATTCCCCACCTACCAAGGCTTGGGCCAGGCCCACAGCTAATTGGGATCTGCAGCAGCAACAGCAGGTAGAGATGCATCTGCTAAGAAGAACAGCCCTTGTCTAATCACTTATCTTCATTTTAAAGATAGGGATACCAAAGCCTTGGCAGATTGTAAAGCCTACTCCAGGCATAGCAACAGGAGAGCTGGGATTCATACTCAAGCAGCCTGATCCTTCAGAAAGTGCTCTTTTTCAGTTCCATAGATATGAGTGCAGGAGTGGGTATGTGTGGGGAGATGTAGGGGAGGAAATGTATGTATCTGAGTATTGGGGAGAATTACGTGTGCAGTCAAGGCTGAGAAAGAAAGGCAGTATTCTAGGGCCAACTGGCCCCAGACTAGCTAGGCCTGGGCAGGTCCTTAAAGTCACAACCAGCTGTGCTCACTCTATGGTTCTCCATGCATCCCCAGCAGGCACAAATCCCAAGCCATCGGGACAAGTGAAGTGAATAGAGGACGCGTGCAGAGCAAGCACCTGGCGAGCTGCCTCCCGACACTTCTGTATGGAAATTTCATCAGGCTCTCCCTGGTACTCCGGCACTTATTGGGAAACAGACATACAGAGAGTCAGATCACAAGCGGACAGAGAAATCAAACCATCTTTTAAAAATAAAACAAAAGAGAGACATACGGTCAATTTTCTGTGCCACCAAAGTACATGGAAACTTATCTCCTAGAATCTGAATGACCTGTTCCAAAATGAAAAAACATTTATCACCATTTGTTAATGATTCCCCATTACTACACAGCTGTCATCCACCATTCTCAACAGGTAACTCTCCTGCCAGTCCACTAAGGCTTACCAAGTCAGGCCCATGAGCCTCACTCCAGCCTTCATGGTCCACCTCAGCAGGTCTCTGTTCATGCTCCCTCATCTCTCTCTTACTTCAGGTCTCTGTTCATGCTAATTGCCCATCCAGAACACCCTTTTCCCTTCTCAATGCTCCCAGAAACCCTACCTATCATCCTAGGTCAGGAATTTTCTATCAGGCATTAACCAGAATCCAGGAGACCTGTGAACTTGGATGAAAAAATACCCCTAGCTGAAATTTAGCATCCCTTTCAACTGTGAATACAGAAAACCAAACTAGCATTAGCAATTCTCATGCCCTTTAAACCTATTAAAATCAGATGTTGTCATATCCCCTTACAATTATAGCAGATATCTCAAAATGCCATTTACAATCCTCATAATATTAAAATTATGATAATTATACATACCGCTAGATTGAATCCTTTAATATATTAAAGTAGATGTAACTGATGATAAATACCTGTAATTTTTTAAAAGTCATCTATCTGCAATATTTCGAGAATTGTACTTCAATAGATTTCCTTTGTAATTCCATTATTTTATTTTGTATATTTAAAACTATTTTCCTGAGAAAGGGTCCATAGGCTTCATCAGTCTGCCAATGAGGTACCATGAGATGATGAAGAGTTAAGACTCCCTGTTCTAGCCCAGCTTCAAGTCCATCTCCTCTAGTGAGCCTCCTCTACCCACTCCAGTCCCTTCTTTTAAATGTGAGAGCGTCATATTCTCAGCTAGAGGCTGACACAGCTTTGGAGTCACCACCATCCTGCATGGGGCTCTGTTCAGGATGGAGCTGCCTGTCTGCTTGACTGGTCTGGCCTCAGGATCTCAAGCCTTTTATCAGCATAGGGCTCTGACTCCTGAAAAGACCACCCTGTCCTGGCACAGAGATACCATCAGCCCCTTTGCTGTGGACAAATGAAGGGCCTCCAAATGACTGCACCCCAATAGTCTGCCTCAGACCTACCTAGTGGGCATTATCCTGATTCCCCACACAGGACCCTGCTTGGCCACAGCTGACGGAGCAGGGAAAACCCTTGAGCCAAGCAAGACCAATCAGGAATAGTGTCTGGCAAAAGCCTCATTGCCTCCTTCACTAAGAGAAAAGGAAGCAAAGACTCAGATAGGAAAAGGGATGATCATCCAGAGAGAACTACAAGACAGGACTGCCCCTCAAGAGACTTTTCAGTTCTGGTGGGGGACCAGGGGACCACATGAGTCACCTGGTGGTTTATGTGAGCTCCCTGACGTCACTATTATTTGCAGCCAAAGATGTTCCATCAACCCCCAGAATCCTCTCACAAGTAGTCACAAAGTCCCTGTAGGCAGCAACAGGATCCACTACAGCAGAGGACCCCAAACCCACGCCCGCCCACCCCCCCCACATCAGTACGGGTTATAGCCTGTTAGGAACCAGGCTGCACAACAGGAGGTGGGCAGCTGGCGAGCTAGTGAAGCTTGATCTGTATTTGCAGCCACTCTCCAGTTCTAGCGTCACAGCCTTAGCTCCATCTCAGATGATCAGGCATTAGATTCTCATAAGAGCACTGGTTCCTGGTGCCAAAAAGGTTGGGAAACACTGCACTATAGGATCCACTGCCTGCCTCCTTCACTCCCCCGCTCATTGTCCCCATTTTGCAAAAGTGGAGAGTGGGAGAGGCTGAGGACATTTTGGACCATGGTGGAAAGTGGATAGCTCAGGTTAGGTGTCTGTCCCACGCCCTGTCCGGCCCCTGCCACCCTCGGCCAGCAGCACGATCTGGATCAGCTCTAGTAGGACGTCGGAAGTCCTGGTTTGGGGTCTAGTTCAATAAGTAACCTTTGGGACAGGTACTAAGGACTCCGCCACTCTCGCTCCCACAGCCCCTGAGATCACAAGCCCTGTGCCCGGGGCAGCCCCACTCTGCACACGCGGCTGTCCCACCCCGGGCGGTTCAACCCCTTCCACACACCTGGGTACTATGCATCCCTGGGGAACCGACTCTCCGTTCCCCCTCCACGCCTCCTCCCGCGTGCTTTCTTACTCCTGGAAGCTCCTTCTCAGCCCTATTTCAGCCAGCCTGGCCACGCGCCATCCCCTCCCGCCTCCAGCCACCTCCTGATCGGCCTCCCACACCCTCCCAGCACCTCCTCCAGCTTTTTGGCGTTCCCCGTGACAAACACAATCTTCTTCCCGACCAAGGAGGTAGCCATGGCGATCCAGGTTTACTGCGCAGGCCCACCGGAAGTCTCTCTACCTCGAGGTGTAGGCATTTCCGGATGGCGGCGGAAGGGGCGGATTGGCTTCCGGCCTGTGATCGTGCGAAGGTATGTTTGAGATTCCTTTTTGAAACAGCTACATCTTAACGGCCTTAGGGGCGAAACGGCCGCGCTGGGCACCTGGAATCCTTCCTCAGAACCCCGGGGACCGGAGTGCCCTTTTTCCAGATGAGCATCTTAGGGCGCCGGACGCTAGAAGAGATGAAAATGGCGCGGCCCCTCTGCGCCTGAATACGGCGGTCTTCCTGAGAGTGGAGGTTGAGTGCTCCGAAACCAGTCTCTCCCACCAAGGGACGACGTCTTCAAGGACCAGAAGAGACTATTCCAACTATCTGCCCCACCGCCGCTTTCGCCCCTCCCTGGGACGGGGCACCGTGGGAAGCAAAGACACCCTGGTCCCCTACCCCGAGGCCAGTGATGAGCGGACACCAACAAGGCCGTCTCTCATAACTTTCCTTCAGGGCAAGGGCTCCCAGACCCAGATATTATCCTGACCTCACCTTCAGCCCCGCTCCTTTAGCTCCTTTTTTGTCCGCCAGCTCAGAACTACTTGACTGAACTTAAATTTGGCATAGCTTAAAGCAAGACCGGTTTTTCACCCATTTCCCAGGCTTGAGACTTAGGTATTTTGATTCCCTCATCCTTCCAGCCTTTCAAATTCATCATCTCTTCTCCGTACCCACCGCCTCAGCCAGATCTTTGCATCCTGAACACAGCAAAGAATAGAATGTGCTCCCAGCAGACCCACCTGGGTGACAGGCCTTAACTCAACGGCTGACTCCCCCATTGGTTAAGTAACCTGGCTCCCTCCTCTAGGGATTCTGTAGCCAAGGGTTAACAGCAAGGGCAGATTAAGGGCCAGCTCTACTAGTGAGACGTCTGTCAAAGGAGTATCAGTACTCTGGAGGTCTGTCAGTGCTTAAATGAGTTATTTTGGTTAATGTTAATGACCTCTGATAATCTCGAATATTTTTTAGACCCCAGATTTTGCCCTTAGGAAATTAAAAAAATTTCGTGCTCTCTAAAAACTTTGCTCAATGACCACAGCGGGAGTTTTGCACAGGCCAAAAGGCTTTACTGTGTCCTTGGGCAGGTCCTGAAGTTTGTGATTCAGTTCCCTTTCCACAATGTGATTTGTGAGGCTTTTTGGAATTGATTTGGGAAGGAGTGGGTTATATTCAGGGAGTGGTAGCCTTCCCTCTATATCATCTGTCTTCCTTCATGAAGTTATAGGGAATCCCCAAGGATGTGGAAGGGCATAGGAGGTTTCTTTCATCAAAGCTGATCTCGCTGTTGAAAGCTTCACCTACATCCTTAGCCTAGGAGGAGCTTGCCAGGGACTGGATACAGGCACCTGGTGTACCACAGACAAGTACCATGCGCTGTGGTTAGTGCAATGATGGTAGGAACCCTGGGTGCTGAGAGAAACCTAGGTTGAAGAGGCTAGTTAGTCAAAGAGCAAGCTGTGGGACCTCACAAAGTGTTATTAAGCAGGTAGTATTGTGAATAGATATTCACTTTAGGTCGACCTCACTCTTAAATCTTAAGGCCTTGGAGCCCAAGAGCTTGTGGGGAGGGAGGAGATATGTGAATACCCGCAGTTACATGCAAAAGTTTGTGTATGTGTGATCTTTAGTCAGAACCTTTAGTTGCAAGTGACAATAATCCTCTTAGGCAAAAACAAAAACATGTATTGATTGGTTTGCTTAACTGATAAGCCAACCTGTAAAGAGAGAGTCAAGTTCTCAGTTGCTCTGAACAGAAAGGAAGGGGATTGCATCATTCATTCATTAAATAGACTATGCTAGAATTAAAATTGTGAATTTTGGGCCCCTTGAGCAAGGGATATGACTGGAATCTCTTTGAAATTGCACTCTCAACTGTGGGGGAACCCAGTTAAGCAAAGAAGGATGATTCTTGTCCTCAAAGGAGCTTGTCAGGTCCTATCATTTCTACCTGAGAAATAGTTCTTGAAATTCTACCTCTGAAACCAGTCCCCTCCTTTCCATTCACACTGCTACTGTCACGAATGCAGCCCTATTCTGTTCTCACCTGGACCAGGGCAGCACTGTTGCTCTTCTTGCCATCTTCTATCTGCTTCAGCCTGCCCATAAACCTTAAGAGACATGTTTAGGGTTCAGGACTCAGTACCTGAAAACTGCAAATGAAAACTATGAAAATGATATAATCTGTTTGAGGCAACAAGGAAGAATTATCTTTAGTGACAAACTTGTCAAAAATGTCAAACTTACAAAAGAGTAGTAGAATGAGCACCTATTTACCCATCACCTAACTTTAACAATGATCAGCATTTGCTATTTTTAATATCATCTATCCTGCCCTTTTACTTGTTTATAAATTTAAAAATGTAAATTATGAAATATTGCAAACTTACAGAAAATAATAAAATAGATGTTCAAGTTCCCACGATTCCAATAATGTGGTATTTAGTGCTTTTAAAACATACATAAATGTTGTCGCGCTGTACATAAACATAACCATTTGCAATAATTTCCATTTAACACATTAAGATGTTAACGTCATTTTTTTTAATCTCCTCCCACACACAAACCATTGGTCCTGGATCTTCATGTTATCCAATGCACACAAAGCTTCATACTATTGTAATAGTAAGTTCCCAGTAGTTATTTGCTTCTTTAAACATCTCGAGTTTACATCTTGTCCTCAGTTTTTTTAAACAACTTTATCGAGGTATAATTTGTCCCCAGTTTTTAAAATAGATTCTTAAGAATTAAAGAGGAGTTTAAATTCTCTGTGCGTATTTAATTTCCAAGAGCTCACTATAGAAACTGGATCACTAACTTTGCATAACCTAATAAAGCTAATTTTATTTCAAAATAGATATAAAATTGCAGGTCTGAATACAAAACTGTATCACAACTTAAATAGAAGAGTTAGTCTCTCCCCCTCCCCCTTTCAACGAAATCAAATGTCACAGATACGGGCAAAGCTCTGCTCTTAATCTCACCCACATCCTTTTCCCTCGCTAAAGGTAACGGCTATCCTGAAGTTGGTGTGTATCATTCCCAAGCATCTTTTTGTACTTTTTCAACACAGTATATTTCTATGTGATATTGCTTAGTAATTTTAAAACATACATGTTTTAATGTTGCCACACTGCACATAATCTTTCACAATAATTTCCGCTTAATATTATGTTTTTCTGCCCCAAATTCATTTTAAAATTAAAAAATATACGTGGGGTTTGCAGCCTGGGCGGGGCCCCGAGTGGGGGGCGGAGTCTAGAATGGGAAATGGGAGGGGTCTCATGGGCGTTGGGCGGGACTTGAGAGATTACGGGCCTCCGCGTTGACGCGCAGGTCCCGCTTGGAAGCCGTCGTCATGGTGGCCCCCGTGGTGTATCTGGTGGCGGCGGCTCTGCTTATCGGCCTTATCTTCTTCCTGACTCTCAGACGAGGCCGGGCGGCAGCAGGTAGGAGATGCCGCCGCGCCAGGGCCCGTGGGGCCGCGTTCTCTGGCCTCCTGAGCTTTAGTAGGCTGTCGCACCGCGGCTCTTGCGCATGCGCCGGCACGCCTAGCTGGGCTGACGCGGATCTAGTCTTCCAACAGCGCTCGCCGCGCGTGGGGCTGCGTACGCATGCGCGACAGGGTACCGCTGGGGAGCCGCAGTGAGAGAACCTGTGGACTGGTTGGCAGTGTCCCTACACCTTTCTACCTTTCTCCCCAACAAGACAGCCTTGCTTCATCCCTGTGCTCGCACCCTAGCATTCCAGACCGCCAGACCCAGACGATCTAGGCCCTGGCGGACACACACTGCCATCCCTCATTGAGGCAATTCCTTTTTGCGCCCATTGGAGAGGCTGCGGGCGTTTCCCATCTCTCTCAGGTTGGCTTCAGTGTTTCTGCCTACCCACGAGCTGGAGAGAGCATGAGACAGCTCCAGGGAATTTCCTGAAGCTCTCTCCTTTCCACTCAAGGAGAGCACCCTTGCACCCTCCTCCCTATTCTGCACCCCCACCAAAAGGCCATGTCATCGGCCAGGGCACAGAACAGATATTACCTGTCATCCTCCCACACTCCCTCGTTTCCTGTCAGCATATGGGTTTGTGTATGTCTGTCCCCTCTCTGGGCCCACAAGCTGCTTCAGAGCACCTGCATACTCCAAGGACGGGAGAGAGACGCTGAGGTAAGTCAGAAAGCCAACAGATCTTCCTGGGAGGAGAGAGTCAGCCCCTCAGGTGTGCTCTCTGGTTGGGACGCCAAGATAAAACCATGGCAGGTGGTGGTAGGCAAGAAATAAATTCAGTCCTGCAGTGGGCATTCAGGTGAGATCTGGAGAGATCAGAGTGGGCTTCCTGGAGGAGGTAGAGCTTCATCTCTATCTTGCAGAGTGATAATCTCCTGATTGGCCAGCTGGAAAAGTGGGGCCTTGAGGGTGATCTTGTTGCATAGGACTAAGGTGTGGGTCTGGGTTGTAAAGGCCTAGATGGTCTGAGAAGTTGAGGCTTTGTACTGTGGGCAGCAGAAGCCTGGATGTAGTTGAGCAGAGGAGAATGAGGCTTCCAATATGCTGCTACCCTGCTATCAGGTGAGTTGGGCTGGACGGCATCATGGTTTCTGTCTTTCCTACAGCTGGCCAAGAGCCACCGCACAATGAAGAAGGGCCAGTATTAGCAGGCCGAGTGGCCCAGCCTCGATTCCTGGAGTCTGAGGACCCAAGAGTTGGGGGTAGGCCTCGGCGCCGCAGAGACCTGGGCAGCCGCCTGCAGGCCCAGCGTCGAGCCCAGCAAGTGGCCCGGTCGGAGACAGATGGGAATGAGGCAGAGGCAGTCATCCAAGGTGAGAGGAGCCCCAGCCTGGAGGGAAAAGGAACTGGGTTAGGTGGTGAGAGGAAGGCCAAAGATGGGTGGAAGAATGGGGTGTGAAGCCATAGTGCAGGAGGGATGTCTGAGAACCAAAAGATGGGGTGTGGGGAGACTTGAGACCCAAACTTCGATCCTAGGGGCCAGAAGTTCTGTATCCTGACCCCTCTTCCATTGGGCCAACCCCTCTCTTCCTTCATCTTGGCTCTCAGTTTCCAAGCAGGAGGGCAAGGGTCTTTAGATTGACCCAGGGAGTTCCTCAGTCCACTCCTTTTATCCCAGCCCCTTTCCTGGTATGGGCACACTTACTCCTTGAGGGCCTCGCCCTAGGGCCAGAGTGCTTGGCCAAGAGCTTCTACAGTTCCTACAGTGGGGTCACCTGTATCCCAAGAAGAAGGGTTAGAAAATAGGGATGTTCTTTTGACAGTGGCCTCCATATTCTTGGTATTCGGAGACCAACAGAGCTCTTAGAATCATGGGAAAGAATGTCTCCTCTCCAGTGCTCCACAGCTGGCTTGAGCTGGAGGAGGAGGCATTTGGGGCTTTTGCCCTTGTACCCTTGGAAATTAGTCCCTTTGGCTCAAAAATAAGGCCCTCTGTTTCATCTTCCCTCATGTTTCAGATGTGGGATCAGACATCCCTGCTGCTTAGGAATCAGTGGGTCTTTAACTTTCAGGGTCTTTGGCCCTGAGGAGTCGTGAGATTTGTGCTATATTTTTACACTGGGTCTGGTGGCTCATAGGGATAACCCAAGCCAAGGGTTGAGCCCAGAACCTTCAGCAGTTCCTGACCATAGTGAGAATGATTTGAGATTTGAGGTGGGCATAAATTTTCCTATGGGGCCATCCTTCCCTGGAGCTTTGGCTCAGAGACAGAAAGCAGAGAACTCTGCAAGCCCAAACAGTCCTGCCTGTGACTTGCAGACACTCAGATATTAGAATCTGGTACCTCCTTTTATGGCTGTGCAGCATCTAAAGTTATCATCTGGTCCCTTGCCCCATGGCTCCCTCACCCCACCCCTGAATACACCACACCACACACACACACCCTTGGAGTGTGAATTTCTGCATTCATGGCAGATGCCTCTAGAGGGCAGAGCTGGGTAGTGACATTTGCAGATGGGCGCAAGGGGATCCCCACCATGAGGACAGAGACAGGGGGTGTGGTGGATCCATCGTATCGGTCCTCTCTGGCCAGGACCTGAAGTGTCTTTGTCTGACCATATGTAGCCCAAGAGGAAGAAGACATCGAGAAGCCAGTAGAAAGTCACCTATCAGGGAAAATTGGAGCCAAGAAACTACGGAAGCTGGAGGAGAAACAAGCACGAAAAGCCCAGCGTGAGGCAAGCAGGAGGGGTGGGGTGCAGCTCTGGAAAGTGAGAAAGGGCCCTGCCATCCCCGTCCCCTATGGCAGACCTTCCCCTGGAGGCTCTTTGCATGCTGGGCTGGTGCTTGCTGCTTGCCTGGCTTTGTCTCCTACAGCCTAGGTCTGTGTCCTGGCCCAGATGTTGCCTGCCCTGGCCTATTTGGGAGGTGGGCAAGCTCTAGCTGGGGTTGGGGATGTGCCTTTCTTTTCCAGGCAGAGGAAGCTGAGCGTGAGGAGCGGAAACGCCTTGAGTCTCAACGTGAGGCAGAATGGAAAAAGGAGGAGGAGCGGCTTCGCCTAGAGGAAAAACAGAAGGTGAGACAGACCACCGATCCTAACTTCTGATACCTGACCAGGCAGCCTTGACTCGTGCAGCTCCTCAATTCCTCCAACCCAGAAGGTGGGCCATGGACCAGGCGCAGGGGCAAGTCCTGGTTTATTTGGTCCCTGGTCTCTAAACAGTCTGTGTAAAGCTGGTACCGAAAAGCGGAGCCTGAGATGGGAATTTTTCTGCTTATCATGTATCGAACATACCTGGAGCATCTGAAGAACATTGAGATGGTCAGAGTAGCTAGAGCAGGGTAAGCAGGGAAAGGGGTCAAAGAGGTAAGCGGGCAGGGTCTGGATCCTGAGGGCCTTGAGGCTGTTAAAGGAAATTGTAACAGATGGTGGACCCTGCCTGAGCCAGGTCCTGTTAAGGGCCTGGCATAGAGGAGATGCTTGGAATAGGGGCCACTGCAGTAAAGGCGGTTATTGAGCATTTGTTTGCCTGATGCTTCCTTCTGAGAACCCGGTGCCCAAGAAAGGGAATATCACCAAGATAAGATGTGATGTAGGGCAAGAGCCAGGGCTGCCCCAACTGGAAAGACCCCAGAGCTTGGTGCCTTTGGGCTCCGACTGGCTCCATTATCCAGAGGCACTGGATAGAATTAAAGCCTGGCTATGAGTGCTGTAGCAAACAAGCCAGAACACAGCGGAGGGGAGGCATTGCAGGGAGGATTTTTCACCTTTATGAATATTAATTCTGTCTAATGCACCTTCAGTGTCCTGGGGCTCCTCCCCTGCACTCAGTTTCCTCTGTTATTGATATCTAACCTTATTGTGGCGTATTTCTCATGACCGATATTGATGCATTATTATTAACTAAACCCTACATATTATTCAGATTTAATTAGTTTTCCCCCAATATCCTTTTTTTCCACCCAGGATCCCATCTAGGATATCACATTACACTTAGTTGTTATGTCTCCTTAGGCTTTTCTGGGTTGTGACAGTTTCTCAGACATTTTTTTGTCTTTAATGATTTTGATAGTTTTGGTAGTACTGGCAGGTATTTTGTAGAACGTCCTCAGTTTGTGTTTGGCTGATGCTTTTCTCACAGTTAGACTGGGGTTTTAGATTTCTGCGTCGAAGATCACAGGTGAAGTGCCATCTTCAACACAACACATCAGTGGTCATGTTGTCAATTTGACATCACTGGTGACATTAGCCTAGATCACCTGGTTAAGGTGTTTGCCAAATTTCTCCACTGTAATGTTACCCGCCCCTTCCCATACTTGTTCAGAAACAAGTCACTGTGCATGGCCCACACTTAAGGAGTGAGGACTTATACTCCACCTTCTTGAGAGGAAAGCATCTGCATAAAGTATTTGGAATTCTTTTGTACAGGAAATATATCTTCTCTATGTATATGTTCAGTTGTTTATTTTTAACCACATGGGCTTATGGCTATTTATATTGTACTTGTTTTATAATCCAATACTATCTTACTTATTTTGTCACTACAAAGTAAGTAAGATTTTTCCAACTCAGATTGTTCCAACTTTGGCCGTTGGGAGCTCTTTCAGTTAGCTCCTGGATACTTTTGACATACCCTCATTGTTTTGTATTTTTAGTACCTTTTTTTTTTTGGCAGAGCAGGAGGTTCCAAGCTCATCCTGTATATTCTCTGTCTCAGCTTGAGCTTCACGTTTTACATGTTTTAAAAAGATGTACCTGAGAGCTCTGGGAAATGGGTTGGGTTGGGGAGACGCAGTTGCACTAGGTGATAGTGGTGATGGAGCCACTTAGATGTACTGAGAAGCTTTCTAGAAGTTGAAGAAGTGGTAGATTGGACCTCATTTCTGACCAGGGCACCTGGCCAGATGGCTTTGTGACTCACTGAGCTAGGGACCTAGTAGGAGCACCAGACGTGTGGGGATTAGGTCACAAGGTCCTTCTGGGTCGTATTCAATTTGAGGTGCCTGTGAGATGGCTCAGTGGGTATGTCACATGGACAGTCATGTGTTTCGGGAGATAGATTTGGGCAGGGATACAACTGTGGCAGTCACTGACAAGAAGATCTTTGTTGATGCTGTGGGCATGGCGATGTAGCCAGAGATAGGGTGGAGGACAGGCTGAGTGATGGAGGAGGCAGAAATAATGAGCCAAGGAGCAAGAGGGAGTCTAGGAGAAAGTGGGGTCTTTAAGCCAAAGGAGGGAAGAGGAGGTGGTTGGCTCTGCCTAGTACCACTGAGAGGGCAGGGATGTGGAGCCTGATGGTTGTCCCTTGGATTGGTGGGACGGAGGGCATGGGTGAGACCAAAGCAGCAGGTGTTTTGGAGGAGCTGGATATGCAGAAGGGAGATTGGAGTGGGCCAGAGGGGTGGCTGGATGGTGAGGAAATGGAGCTTGGATGTTTGTTCACAAAGTTTGGACATGCCAAGAGAAGGAGAAGGAGGAGGTGACTGGAAGATATTGTGGGATGGAGTCATGACAAGGTGTCAAGGAGAAGAGAGTTGAGCAGCATTTATCTGGGAGGTGTTGGAACTGATGAGAAGAGGGGCATCTGCCTGCTGGTCAGTATGGGGGCCAGAGGGATCAGGGTTTTGAAGGAGCTCTGTTCCCAAGAAAGGGCTGGGCTTTGTGCTCTGGTGCCCTGCCGAGGCAGCAGGGACCAGAAACAGGGATGTGGTGGGTACATTGCCCCCAAATACCTGACTCTTGTCTCCTCTGTGTCCACAGGAGGAAGAGGAGAGGAAGGCCCGGGAGGAGCAGGCCCAGCGGGAGCATGAGGAGTACCTAAAACTGAAAGAGGCCTTTGTGGTGGAGGAGGAGGGTGTGGGCGAGAACATGACCGAGGAACAGGTGGGCCTACCACCCCGGGCAACCCTTCCTGCACCCACCAAGGCAGGGCCACCAATCCCAGACAAACTGCTGTTCCTCACCTGTCTCCCCAGTCAGGCAGTAAGAGGTGGGTGAGCATGAGAGCCAGCAGGCTCTAGCGGCCAGAGGCCTTGACCTCAGGAGAGGTGGTGCCTCCAAAACCCTCACCATGGGAATCTGTGCTGCTCACACAGACAGGTGGGTAGCATATGCAGGTGGTTGGGCGGGCACACGAGGACAGGCACATAGGCAGGTGGCATTCAACTGGGGAGGTGGATAGATACAGACCCCTGCAGCCCCCTCAGGGGAGACACTCACCCTGGTTTCTCTGCTCTTCCAGTCCCACAGCTTCCTGACAGAGTTTATCAACTACATTAAGGTAAGAAGTCACAGAGCAGAGCCTTGTGTCAGCTCCCTGCCTCACGTGTGCATGTCATGTGAATCTCCGCAAGGCCTAGAGGAAGCAGACCTGAGCAGGGGCTGTTGGCGTTTCACCCAGACTCATGCAGGAGTGGGCAGGGGGATTGAGAGGGGCTGAGCTGCTAGGGTCCTGGCGAGGAGAGTTCCTTCTCCTCTACCCCAAAGGTGGAAAAGGACCTGGGTCTTTGTAGGAGGTGGGAGACTTCGATCGCTTCCTCATGCTCAGGGTTTGACAGTTTCTCTGTTCTTCAGACCCCACGCTCAATGAGTCACTGTGTTTTTAAGTTTCTTCACATGTGTTTTCTGTCAGTTCTGTCACACTGAGCCTCCACTGACTTGAAATAAGCATCCTCTGCCATGTGTTTCTGACCTGGAACTTGGGTCTTCTGTAGGGAACAGGATGCTGTTTCCTATGGAATCTGGGGCGGGGTGGCAGGTGTGTCCCCTTCTGTCTGCAGGCCGCCTGGATGCTGCTCTGAGTTGCATAAGCGCAAGCCTGTCCTGCTCTGCTTTGCTGCTAAGCAACTTGTCCTCTCCCACGAAGGATGCGAGAGGTTTTCAAGTGCAGCTCAGAGGTGCAGAGGCGGCTGAGGGAAGGAGTGCAGAGGGAGCGGGGGTGGGGGTGGGGGTGGTACGAAGGGGTGCCAAGGAGCCAGGGCTTGCATAATTCCCCCCACCCCCCCGAAAGAAAGCAGGGTTTTGATGCCTCTCAGCAGTGAGGAGCTGGGCTCAGCCTAGGGGCTCCAGAGAGGAAGAAAGGTCCCTCAGGCTGTGCCCGTTCCCCTCCAGTGGAGCCCATTCTCTACCCTGACACATGTGAGTGAGGACTGCAGCCCGGGCAGGAAATCTAATGCTTCTTTGCTGCTATTTGGAACTTTCTGTCCCCAGCTACCAGGTGGCCAGCAGCATGGTTTTGTGCCCCTCCTCCAGGAAGCCCTCTGCCATCAGCTTTGGCTCCCCCTCTCCTCTGCAGAGACCTGAGAAAAGGCCCCCAGGGCTATTCCAGCCCTCTTTCAGTGGCTCTGAAGGGGCCATTGTATAGGGGTTCTTCATACTCTTCTGGATCTTACAGGTCTTTTCAGCCTGTGTGGCTGATTATCTCAGAGCTGCTGTCTACAGGGGAAAGAAAGACTTCTGAAATTCATCTTACCTACCTTCCTGGCTCCAAGGGGGTAGGCCCTTTCATCTTAGGATTTCAGAACCAGTGGCACATTTCCGTGCCCACATAGTTTATGTGAGGTGTAGGTCTGGATTGCTCTTGTTGGTCCACTATCCTTTCCGACCAGGGCTGGGTTGGTTGTCTTGTTTTTCCAAGCACACTTTTGACCCCAATCTCTCAGACCAAGTCTTCACAGACCACCTCGGATGACTTTAAGTTCCTACTCTGAGCTATCGCTGAGAGCCCAGTGCCTGCCCCCTGATTTGTAGGTATAGCTGGCCAGGTCACCTTACCCATCCCCTGACCCAGCTGCTGCTCATTTGCCTTGCTGCTCGCACATTCGATTTGACATTTTAAATCTTCACACGCCATCTCCAGCTGGGGAGATGTCACCATGCCACTCCACCCCAAGGTCATTCGCTGTGAAAGAATCAATGGAAACATAAAAGACTGCCTTCTCTTAAGTCATATGCTGTCTATTTTTGAGGGGAGGCAAATGCATTTGCCAGCAGTGAGGAGTGGACCCTTAGCTGTAGCTCCCTAAAGTTTCTACTGAGGGTGTGAGGGGGAACACACAGATAATAATTGTGCATGGAAAACATCGAAGGTGTTAGTGATAGTTAATTTAAGGGTGGGTCCAGTGTGTCAGATGATATAAAGAGAATTGTGAAAAGAATTGTGGGGTTTCAGGGCTGTGGGGATCTCCAGGCCAGGGAGCAGTGGGCAAAGGCGAGGTGGGACTGAACTGCACTGCCTCTACCAAGACCCCAGCTTATTGGGGCCTTTTATCTGTTCTCTCCTTGTCCACATTCTCGCCTGTCTCCTTGGCCGGGTTGTGAGCTCCAGGGCAGAAGCTATGTCTTGTTCACTAGCGCCTCCCCCACAACGTCTCAGTGCCTTGTCCGAGCAGGTCCTTAGCAAACACAAGTCCTGGTGACAGTTTTTTAAAATAGCTTTTGGTGACTGTCACTCTCTCCCTTCATCTCTATAGTGCTTCCCCTTCCAACCTGTTCATGATGTTAAAAATATACAGCTGGATGCAGAGGAGAAGGTGGCAGCTGTGCTTGGCTCTACATGTGTGTGTCTGTCTCAGGGTGGTCCCCAGTCCAGGACAGGACCAGGTGGTAGTTTTAGGCAGATACCTCCTGACAAGCAAGAGAATGAGAGAATTTATGAGTGTGTGTGTCTCTGTACATGGGTGGTTGGGGAATTTGTGAGTGTGTGAGGGAATCAAGGCTTTCCCACAGTGGAATCTGCACAGTGTTTATCTAGCCACCCAGAGCAGATCAGATCACAATACAAACTTTAGAGGGCTCCAGTGCTGAGAGGGATTTGCCCACTCAGCCTCTCTTCCATTCCTCCCTCTCTCTATAGCAGTCCAAGGTTGTGCTCTTGGAAGACCTGGCTTCCCAGGTGGGCCTACGGACTCAGGTAAGCCCTGGAAGGTGGCCCACTGTGTGGAGTATGGCCACAGAATCTGTGTGGCTGTCAGAGGAGGCCTGCCCTAAAGATGGAGACTCTAGATGCCTCCTCTGCCCTGCTCCCAAGCAGTTCAAGAGGTGTGAACCTCTTGGCATTCCAGGAATCCTGCCTTTCTGCTAGGTGGAAGAATAGCCAGGGAGGAAAAGGAGAAAGTCCAAACCCTATCAATCTAGCAGCCTCTGTAACCAAAGCAGCCCAAATTCAGTTACCTTGACAACTCTTGCAAACAGGCTGCACCAGCCTTCATGGCCAGATGTCACCACCACTCCTCTCCTGGTTGGAAAAGTGCCTGTCTTGGGGGTCTTGCAAGGCCCAGGACCAGAGCCCCTTCTCTCCTTGGCCCCTCCAGAGTAGAAACACAGAGCCACATTGGTCAGGGAGGGGCAGCCATGAGACGGGGAGAAAGAGATTTGGCTGTGGTGGGAGGGAGGTTGCAGTTGCCTTTTCTGGGGATGGCAGTGCCCATCTCTGTTCTGAGAATTGTTCTCTTCATAGGACACTATAAACCGCATCCAGGACCTGCTGGCTGAGGGGACTCTGACAGGTGAGAGAATGAGAATCAATCAGTACAGGCCTGGCCTTGGCAAGTGTCTAGTTGCAGGGGGTTGCAGGGGGTTGCAGGGACTTGTTACAGAGGCAGAATGATAACCAAGAGTGGGGGAAGTGGTATGCAATGAGGGGCACTGAACAGGGGGACGCAGTTACAAGGAAGACATGGCTCACCTAGCCAAGATTAGATGCAGCCAGGAAAGGCTGGACAGGCGGGCAGGCCTTAGGGCTTGGAGCCAGTTGTCAAGGGATGGGTGGGAGGGCATTTTCAGGCCAGATGGGGAGAACCCAGAAGGCTAAGCCCCACAACCTGCATGTCCCCACAGGTGTGATTGACGACCGGGGCAAGTTCATCTACATAACCCCGGAGGAACTAGCTGCTGTGGCTAACTTCATCCGACAGCGAGGCCGGGTGTCCATTGCCGAGCTTGCCCAGGCCAGCAACTCCCTCATCACCTGGGGCCAGGAGCCCCCTGCCCAGGCCCCAGCCTGACCTAGCCCTTCCCTCTTGGACTCAGAGGTGGCACAGCCTACCTGATCATACATCTTTATCCCTTCCCACCATCCTGGGACAGTGATGGAATGTGGCCAGGCAGTTGTAGATTAAAGGCCTGTGAGCACTGCTGAGCTTGGTGTGGCTTGGTATGGCAGAAGGCCTGACTTGGGATCCCAGATGAGCAGGTGAAGACTAAACCTTAGAATATATCCGAAGAGTCGGGGTGGAATGTCCTATGGAGGCAGATGGAAGTTCAATTCTTAACAAGTATTCATTCATTCAAGACAAAATATCAAGCATTTATACTATGTTCCTTTGTGCCCTGCAAGCCCAGCCCCCAAGACTTGAATGAAGTCTTTCCCTCCCAAGCTTCCTGGAGCAAAAGTGGGAAATCTCTTGGGTCACATACATCTCCCCTCACTGGGGAGGGCGGTCTCACTATTTTTTATATTACTTCAGGAGCCCTAAGGAAGGCTGAGAGCCCTTAGGGCAAGAGTTAATCTGGGGTCGCTCCATAGTGTAGTGGTTAGCACGTCTGCTTTACACACAGAAGGTCCCGGGTTCATGCCCCAGGTGGCACCACAGACCATACCCCGGGTGCACCAGTCCCCCTGGGGGTGCCGGGCCCAGGGTGCATTCTGCGAGCATGTGGGAGGCGACTCGCTGCCTTCAGAGATCCAGTTCTTAAGGGGAAACGAGATCTAGTTCTTAAGGGGAACTGGCAACATCCATAGGTCAGGAGTTGAAGTGGGGTTGGGGGGGGAATGAAAGAGGGTAAAAAAAGTTAATGAGCTGTGCCAAGGGGAACATCACCCTTTGGGAGAGGAGGGAGGTCAGGGAGGGTAAAAGGCTGGGCCAGCTGCTTGTGAAGCAGGTGGAAGAAAGGGAGGACCTGCTTGAGCTGGATAGAATTGCGTTATGAAAGGACAATGCTTCATACAGCACATCATATGAATTCAGCTCTACATCCTTGACAAAAAATCTAAATGGTGTGGATGATTCCACCCACTGGTGGATGTGAGGACCATATGCTCGAGAGTGGGTGTGAGATGGGAGATGTGTGTCTTCCGTAGGGTCAGTCACTCTAGTTCCTGTGGGCTGTTCATGGCATGAACATCCTGCTGTGCTGAGGGTGAGGCATGTGTTTAAATGTGTATTTCTTATGCAAGGTGGTGCCTAAACATAAACCACCTACTTCTGATGACTGGTGGTGAAGGAAGCAGCTTTCTGTTCCAGCCTAGGAGAAAACCGTGGATGGTGAGGGGGAGACAGGACATCAGGCTCCAGAGTGGAGCCTTCCTATGGGCTTGTCAAGGGTAATTTTGACTCATTTGGTGTCATAAGTATTAACTATAGAACCTAAATTCCAAGTAAGGTAACTCTGCTATTTCTGTCAACAATGGGCACTTGGAGTACCCGGAGTTAGGAAGTGCCACATGCATTGTTTGGAAGGCCATCTGGGAGCCCACAGTCTATGTAGTAAGAGAGAGAAGGAGCAGATGTAGGTACCCACAGTCTGAGATAGAAACATAAACTTCCAAAGGGAAAAGAAGAGATAGCTTACAGTTAAAGCAGTGGTTTTCAGCCCTGGTTGCTCATTAGTGTCAGGGAGTTTTCAACAGTTTCTTGCCAGGCTGCACCTTGGACTAATTCAATCAGAATCTTAGAGGTGGGGCCCAGAGTTCCTCAGTAGGAGATTTAATGTGCAGCCACCAGTGAGAACCAGTGAAGGAGGTGAGGGAGGGGTGCAGAGTCAGGCCATAAGGTTTCAAGTAAATAAAATCCCCACTGGAAGGGGCTTCTGACATAGCAAGATAGCAGCTCCAGGTCTCCTTCATTCTTTCCCTCAACTGTCCTCAGCCACTGCCATCCAGGTAGCAAGATGGCTGTGGTGGCCCCAGCCACCCCTCCATTCTACCATCAGGACACTGCCCACTGGCCAGGAATGAGGAAAAGGCACATCACTTCCTCACAGCCTCTGAGATTCTTTATGTCCCAAGGGCTTACCGTAGAGGAAAGAACTTATAACCCTTTGTGTATTACCTGGTGATCCATCTGCTAATCTATCAATTGAACTATTAAAATAGTAAGCAGCTAACTAACATTTTTCTAAATATGAACAAACTGCTTTCACAACTAATAAATGAAAACTTTCAGGTTTAACCACTTACAATTTTTTAAGCATTTAAACATTATTATTTAAATACTTCTAAGCAATTAAAGGTCCCAAATTTAATATATGAAATTATTTTAAATGCTTTTATGCCTTAAAAAATAGGTCAGACCACATAGTATTAAAGTTAGTACATTACTGATCTGTACATACAATACTAAAACTGATTATAAACATTTCAATACTGTGGACTTATATTTGCTTATTCATTAGCTCTATTTTTATTTTTATTTCTTCCTGAGGGTACAGTTTTCACCTGGAGCACCAGGGTGATTATCTCAGGTGGCCAAGGATGTAGATATGACTGAAGGATGGTGATTCAGAACCAGGAGTCCAGGACCTCACTGTGATCCTGTCTGAGTTCTTTATCCCTTGTATGACTCCTCTTTCATAGTTAGATTTTCCCCCTCCATCAGGAACTCAAGACTGTTGGTTTCAACCAATCAGATAAATTTTGATTTTTATAACTCCCAAGTTACAAAACGCTTGTTATGCTTGTTCTGGATACCTTATCTTTGCAGCCCAGCCCAACAGGTCTGTTTTAATATCACTTGCTTCCAGTAGAGTCCATTTGAGTTCAGTTTGGTTCTATCAGAATGTCTCTTTTTTATGTACCTTCAAGGCCTATTATTGACAAACTTGTGGTTAGAGAGCCATATAATGCAGCTTGTCTTTTCAAACATTGTTATTTATAAGATTGGCCATGAGTTGAAAAATTTAAAAAGCTGAGTAGTGGATACATGGAGGTTATATATGTTTAAAATTTACCGTAAAAAGCTTAACGTTAAAAACAGTCCTAGATGGCCTCATGTATCCTTGAGTCAAACTGAGCCCCAGAAAAGGGGCCAAAAAAGCTGGGCCATGTGAGGCCACCAATAGTCACTCCATTCAACCAACAATTAAGTGACTGCCCTGGCTGCCACAGTGGCACCAGTGCAGGATGCATGTTGAACCTTTGTAAGATGAATATTATTCAAACAAATCCAAAATATGTTAAAAAAAAAAAAAAAACACAAAAAACACTGACATAATCTATGGATAGCCTATGGAGTACGAGGCAGGACCCCAGGTTGCTACAGTGAGCAAAACATGGCCCCATCCACAAGTGGGTGCAGGAGTAGTGAGTTTTTTGTTTTTTTGTTTTTTTTTTAACGCCTACAGCACCCAGTCTGTGGTATTAGTCTAACAGGGAGACCAGAAATCACCCAGCCAGCAGGTACACAGCCAAATGTCAGTGTTCCAGGCCAAGTAGGGGACAGGTGCAGAGAATGTAAAGGCTGATGGTTCACTGAGGGGCACGGAGTGTTGGATAGAGATAAGGAGGGATGGGATGGAGAAGGAGGTTGGGACTATGAGCCCAGAGATTTGGGCTATATTTGGGGGAAGGATATTTAATTATTACTTTGAGTCAATACTCATTTCTTAAACCTTTGCAATCATTGTCATTACTTCATTCGTTCCTCCCTCCACACCCCTGTGTACTGTTTGAGGGTACCACCATTAGCCTTCATGGGTGCATGCCCCAGACACCTCCAGTCCCAAGTGCTGGCCCCAAGATTGGAGACAACTATTCCAACAGGCTGTGTTTTTCAAAATTTTTTTATGGTATCTCTCAATAAGGAATCTTTTACATTAAGGACATATGTGTGTGCATATAGACATAACTGAAGCAAAGTTTCACAGTGGTCCTTCACTTACCATGCCTTAATGCATGTTGATATTTGCTTCTCGATTCTGTCTCCTTGCTGATGGTGGTTAAATTGACTTAATAACCCACTAACATATCTCAGCCTACAATTTGAAAAACAGGATTCTAAGGAGCCTGTTCCTTTTATATTGAGGACAGGCCCGAGGATCAGTATCTCGATAAGAGTTGTGTATCATATAAAACTTGCCAAAAGAGTTGTACCAAAAGCAATTTATATTACAGTAGTGACATTGAAAAATAGTTTTACTTGGTTTATTCTGATAACATACATAATTTTTGGCTGGTTAATATATTATTTGGTTACTCATTCTAGCAAAATGTGTAAGGGAACCTTATGAGAGAATCTCCCAAATACCAATACTGTAACGAACTTATTTAAATATAACCTTTTGCATGGAACCTGCTAGATTGACACTGACTGCTTTTAGTTATTTTAACTTTCTTATATGATTTTACAATTTGACTTAATTTCTAACATGATACAAAAGACACATTCATAATAATGATACCAAAACTAAAACTAGTAATGTTCCAACTGTAGCATAACTGAGTAACTGAAATTTAATACCTCTGTTGTTTTATTTCCCTTTAACTATTTCTCATCAACAAGGTGGATCACGTCACTTTGTTGTTGAGCTAAACCCCACAGTTCACATAACTCAAATAACAGTATAGTTGTATAGACACATGCTTGATGTCTAGTTCGGCAGTTGTCTTGGTGCCTTTTTAGTTTGTATATATTGCCTCACCTCAAAATAAGACCATAGTAACAAATATGAATAGATGAGAAATTATTTAACCTGTAATCATCGGGAAATTCTTGTTTTCCCACGTCTTAGCTACTATCCCTGCTGGGTGATAGCAACTCAGGAGAGGAAAAGTGGGCAAATGGTGAGTGAAGGACACATGGAAAGTTTGGGCCCCAAAGGCAGGTAATAAAAGTTTTATTTAACTACCACTATGTCTATCTGCAGTGATAATGTAAAAGGAGGCTTTCTGCTGGGCAAATTTATCCTAGCTTTTACAAAAACAAAATCTGGTAACATTTTTGGAGCTTGCATGTTTCCATAAAATTGATTAAAGATTTGGACATGACCACAATTTCCATGATGCAATAATCATTTTATTATTATTCTGCTTGGTGCTTTAAGAAGGACCAACATACTTCACAATAGGTGTAAGTACATAAAACTCACTTGGGATAGTGGGTGGAGTGGTGGTTTGTATTCCTTTTGACTTTGTTTCTTAAT